GATATTTAAATATCTATCCACCACTTACAGCCAAATAAACTTGATCGCGTTCAATGAGATCAGCCAGGCGATAGAGCAAACGACCACGATCCGAAGCATCCATGCGACGCCAGGGTGAACCCAATCTATAAATTAAATAAAGTTCAAATGAGCATGAGCAATTATTCTTCATTTTATTTACAAAATTATATTTACTTGAATGCTTGACGCGCTGCTTTAACGGCTATGTCTATATCCTCCTTGCCACCGGCTTGGATTTCGGCAATGGTCTGTTCGGTGGTTGGGTTAATAGTGGGAAAGCTCTTGCCCGACTTGCTCTTGTGCCACTCATTGTTGATGAAGAGCTGGAATGGATGAATTGAAATAAAGATATAACAAAATTTTAACGGGTTTAATAATCTTACTATCTAAGTAGTTAGCTATGATTATTTATTTTTATTTATTTATTTACAAGAGTAAGAACAAAATCTATCTACAACATATCTTACTACAACATATAGATTTATTTATTTAGATCTTTAGCTCTGTTCAATTAATCATGTTCTAGGTTTTTCAAAAGCTTGTTCTGAATCGATTCATTTTTCTAAAATATTATTCAGCTGCTAATAAACGACAAGTTCTTTTGCACTAGTTCTATTAGTCAGCAGTTCTACTCAGCAGAATATACTGAGCTTATCGTCTGTTAAGCATAAACAAACTGCTTATAGTGATCTACTAGTCATTTATCCCATAATAATCTGCTGCCAATTCGATTACACTTTGTAATTGACATACGCAATTATTGCCGGAACGAAGCTAATCAATAAGATTAATTTACTGTTCTGGTGTAATCGAGCAGCTCTCTAATTAGTTGGCCTCGATTAAAACTATGCTGTTTACACAGCTGGGCAGGCAGAGAATCTTGCTGACTATAAAATATATTTGAATATATATGAATGTCTACGTAAATATATTCAAATGTCTCTCAGGTTTAAATTCAATCTCAGCATGACGAGGTAAATTGTGAAATATCGTAAAAAATTTCCGCCAGACTAAAATACTTTAGCAACACGTGTGGGACAGATGACTAGCCGAAGCCCTAGATAAGCTAGTTAGCGGTATACCGGAAAAATTTGACAATAGCTAAAAATATGAACTTTCTTTCCTGGCATAGAAATAAAGTTTATGTTAAAAGAGTTTAGAAACATATATTGTATACATACATAAATATATGCAAGAGTAGTCTAAAAACATATTAAAGAACATTTATATTTTCAAGCTTCAATTTGTTAGATCTTAATAATCTACATATATATTACTTACCTATAGCTATTGATATTTAAATAGTAATTTATTATATTTTATATTTATATATTTTTATATATTTGTTTTAGTCGTTATGTGCCATATTAATATACTCTGTATACGAATTAATTAAACGATAACATCAATCTCTCTAAGAATCAATTAACAGGTAAAATATTTATAGACAGGTACATTCATATTCTTAATCGTAATGAACATACATATTAAATATACATATTAAAAGACTCTTATCAGTAGCATTTTGTGTTCATATAAAAACATATTGACAGAAGTTTATTAATATACAACAAAGAGACCTATAGAGGTAGCTCGACATTCGAAGGTCACGATCAAACAAAATTTGTTACTGGTATATTTATCATATAATTCATAAAATTCAGCTCCTCTTTTTTTATTATTAAATTAAAAATACACACAGTACCAGCTTAAAATTCCAAACAAAATTCTACAATGCATTTAAAGTAGCTGAATTTAATAAAAGAGAAAAGTCGCTGCTCTCTAACAATGTGAACTGCAAAAAGAGCGGCGGCTGTGATATAACGAGAGCGTCAGTCAGCAAGCACCAACCATAACAACAACAGCCGGCAGTAAATAACGCGATATATTTTTTGTTTCTCTTGCTTTGCCTCTGCCTATTCGCCGGTTTGCATGTGTGCTTCGCGTTTCTTGTCTGGGTATTTTCCTATGCTGAGAAGTCACATACACATGCACACTTAAATAAACATATGTCTGAATGTACATAGAGGCAGGCAAATGTTTATCTAATGCGACATATGAACGCTGGTTTTCTGCATGTAAGCCTGGAATTTGCATTAATTATAGAATTCAACTCAATATGTTTATAGAGTGCGTTTGCTTTTTTTGCCTCTCCCTCTTCGCTCTCACATAGATTTGTTTGTGTCTGTGGTTGAGTAGCCGCAAATGTGAAAACAAAAGGGCAGTTGCGATTTGTCAAGGTCAAGCAAAACCAACGGCGAAAAAAATTGCAATTTTACTTAGTAAATAATCAAGTTTGAAAGCTTACATATAGGTATATGTACATACATATGTAGAGGATATGTATTCATTTACACTTACACATTATCTTGGTCTTATCACGGCGTAATGCGTGTTATGTACACAAACAAACATATGTATATAATTTATATATAGACTATACTTACGCCAGTGTAGAGCACATCTGGAGTTGTTTGTGGCTGCGGCATAGCCGAATAGGCAGCAGCAGCAGCCAAATTTTTGCATTCCGCACGCAGCAATCCACTAGTCCTCAAAATACGCAGCATTATGCTTGTCTTATATTTTTAATTAATTTCAAGTATGAAAAACTAGGGCGTTTACCACAATTCAAATTGAAATACCACGTGCTAGTCGTTTAGCGGGCAGCTAGCAACTGAGAAACTGTTGCTGCGACACTAAAGGCGAAAACTATGGAGACGGCATGCCGCTCATTCACTCACACATACATACGCTGACATACTCGTCAGCTTATCAGACGGCTGCGAGCTAACGCACACTATTGCGAGCATAAGAGCATTTCAAACAGCTGCTGATCAGCAATCTACTCTTAGTGCCCAGCATTTAAAGAGAATGAAAGCAAATGAAATGAGCAAAAAACACTCAGTCCAAATAAATTGTTGTGAGTGTATTTGTCAAGTTACATACATATATGCGTTCCATTAAATTGCTTGCTCTTTAAGATTGCCAACAACAATAAAGCTTTCAAATAATTTGTCAACTGGGATAATAAAGCTGTTTGCTAACTGAAAGTACTTGAAGAGTGGAGGGTGCGCTGTCAAAAGCAGTGCGAACGAGACAGACGTAGTGACTGGTTCTCTTTAGAGGGGAATGCTAAATAAAGCTCTTCACAGACTGAGTATGGGGGAATGCAAGAGCTAAGCAATCCTCAAAATAAATGGAAGAGAATAAATAGCATTGAATATGGACTTTTTGCAAGTTATTGAATGCAAATTGTTTGTAATTTATTTATATATTAATTTTGTGAGTTATTATGATGGCTTGTAGGGAATGACTGAAGTTAGTTGTGTGAAATTGATTTATTAATGAAATTAGAAATCCAAAGAAACTTTAATAATTTTCGTCCTATTTTTGTATGTTTATAAGCTACGCTGTGTCAAATATAATCGCCTGGATATACAACAAATGTTGAGTATTTATCACCCATACGTAGCGTCGCTCAAATTGCAATCAGAAAACCTAATCTCCTGGCAAAATGAGTGAAGGAATGAAAGTTTTCGTGTGGGTATGTTTTTGATGCGTAGGACCCTGTCCACTTATCGATAGCCGCCTGTAACTGCCAGGGTCAATTACCATAATCAAATGGCTTCATAAATGTTAATGGCAATTGTTGTGCGTCGGTTCGCATTCGTATTATTGCCATTGCCATTGCCATTGCTTTTGATGTTGCCGGCTGCTCTTAACAGTCGGATGAAATATTTAATTTATCCCCATACAAACAATTTGACAATAAAGCACGAAACGCATCTGAATTTCTCTCCCAAATGCAGGATGTCAACGCAGATATTGAGGCCGTGGCGCGTGTTATAAATGCGAAATTAAATTTAAAATAAATTGCTGGAAATTAAGTAAATTGAATTTAATTATATCTTGCGAAAGTCGGAAATTCAATTCATTTCAGCAACAATGTGGCATTCGTTAGCACAGGTGGAACTTTATCGACAGCTTAAAAGAGACATACATACATATGTATGTATTTATGAAACACATGTAGCACACAAAGGCTTTCATAAGCCAAAAACTTTACAAAATAATTTTTGTTCGTGGGGACTTTGTAAAAGTTTAGCTTAGGAAACATGCGAAGGATCGAAAGACTAAATAAAAATAGTATATTTATATAAATGATTATATCTAGGGTATTTAGAAAGAGGATATTGTAAGTCAACAAAGGCAGGCAGGAAAGGAAAGGAAATTAGGAATTTGTTTTTATACATTTTTAACTTAAAGATATTATAGCATTTACTTTACCATTAAAGAATACGAATTTCTATAATATTATATATAAATGTACAAATAGAAATATAGAACATATACATACTTTTTTTTATAGAACCAATGCAAAACTTTAATATTTACTTAGCATGGCAGCATTAACGCCAAATCATCAGTTTAAGGGCCAAAAGCAAACCTAAGCAAAGGGTTAATGTGTGCGCATTGCACGATGCTATGCATTATATATAAATGTGGCGAAAATAAAAGTAAAGAGCGAGCATCTATGATGGCCAAAAGAGCAAATAAAAAAAAAAAAAAGGTCAGCACAAATGCCAAAATGTATGCAAATGGCTTATAGCTGGCTTTACTTACACTTAGCCTTGTCTTCGTCCCGTTTCCGCGCTCCACCCCATGTGAATTTTTTATCACTCACTTTTTGGTAGTAAGATTTCGACCGAAGCGAATTGTGTTACGTATAATTTTTTGTGGCTTGATTTAATGGCCAATGCGAAAGGGTCAAGACTACACGCAAACACAGATATAAATGCTGGGAGAGAAAGAGTGAGACAGAAAGAGAGACAGAGAGAGAGAGAGAGAGACAGTAAGTTAGAGTTATGGCAATGGTAATTTGTAAAGTTATATTGGGCCAGCGGGGCGTATGCGTACTGCAGTTAATTTGCATGCAAATCCAGTTGAATTTATTGGCTCACTTTGCTCCTTTATTGCAGATATGAAACCTACAAGGCGACGCTCAAGAAAATACCTGCAACGCGCCTCTCACGCCTGACCGAAGCCCTGGCTAATTATGATCCGGTGCTCAATGAATATTTCTTCGATCGTCATCCCGGCGTCTTTACACAAATACTCAATTATTACAGGTGAGTTAAGCGGCTTTAATTGGCTTTACGTAATGACATATTTTTTTAATTTTAAGGAATCTTTCAGCTTTAATTATATATAAATAGTTTATAATATATCATATATATTTTTCGAGTAGCATTGAATCAGTTCAAACAGATTTAAGCTCTTATTTGTTTACTTTATTACGCGCATTGAGCTTAAACAATTTGTTCTAGGCGCCAGCCCACGACTTTGCTTTCCTGGCTGTACACTACTTCATACTTATCAATATACTTAGTCAATCTAGACAAATTTACAGAGCTGTCGACGCATGAGCAGCTGTCCTAATCGAACGATGTCTCTCTTACACTCGAGTGCCGTCAGAACGAATGCGCGTGTATTGAATAAAGAGAAAGCGGAATGCGTCTCTTTACAGACAAGCATTGGACCCTCTGGAATAACACGTAGAGCACATAGATAAAATGTCATATGTACATTTGTATTATATGTATTATATTTTACAATTATTAAATAATTCATTTTATTAATTATATTATATTGTTGTTATATTTTGCCTTATATTTATTATTTTAACACAAAATAGATACATTTCATGTTTATGATTTTATTTTCTTATTTTTATTGTTTGTATATTTATTATTCAAATAATTTGTATATATTATTTTTTAAATAATATTTTTATTTTTCTTTTTACTTCATATATATACAGTTGTGATTATCAATATTCAACGTTTTTATATATCTAAATTTTCAAAAAAGTCGAAAAAATGCAATTGGTGCTATTTTATTTTTTACAGCTTTAATATATATTTTATTGATTATTATTTTTTGTTTTTTTTTTTCTATTTTATTTATTTGTGTTTTATTTTCAAATTATGTTTTCGTACAAAATTATATAAGCCAATTTTCTGCTCCATAATCACTCATCATATATTTAGTTGCAAGCATTATCACACGAATTACATCAAACCCTTATTCATTTTGCATACAAGCATCTCAAAGTTTGGCAAAGTTTATCGACTTTGTTGAAGAACAGATGATGACATCTCCCTCGCTATAGCCACTGTGGGAGCAATTTAATTAGTATATTCACCAGGGTAATTAATCTTAGGCGACTTCAGCGCATTTACCTTGACTTGAAAGCAAGCAAAATAAAATAAAATCAAATCAAATCAGAAGAAGAGAACGAGTAAGAGTAAGAGTAAGCTTATATTTTAATTATGCACCTCAAGCTAAATACAGGCAGTCATAAATCTCAACTTTTTTGGCGGCAAAGTTGATCAAAATTCTTGGGCTTCGCTTTCGCAAGAAAAACTCAACGCTCATTAGTTGGCAAGGATAAATTGTAAGCTAGTTGGTGTTGGGCGGGGGGCGCAATGGGGGTGGGCGAGGTTTCCACTCTTCAATAACTTAGCTTACGGCAAGATTAATGACACGATTTTTTCCCTCTTTTACGCCAAACAAAACTTGTTGAAGTCAACTTGGATGCGTTTACACAGGCCAACAAGATTCAATAATTAAGTAGAGAAAATATAGTTTAAGAACTTTTTTATTATTTACGTGTTGAGAACTAAAAGCATACCAATAGACAAGACAGTTTCAATAAAACTTTTGGTAACTGAAAGTCTTAAAGTTCTATATAAGTTATTCTTTATTAAATTTGCCTTTGAATTACGGAGTAAGATTGGGAACTAAGGTTACAAACCATAACAGTTCTATTATTCACATTTTCAATGGGAGAATGTCATGAAAACGTAATTTTAATTTGAATAAATAATAAAGACGCTTTTCTTTAGGGATTTTCTTAATAGTGCAGAAAATGTGTTCTTTCACTTTTGAGTGCTACACTTTTCACAAATTGTGTTAAAGAGTGTTATTATTAACATGCTGTTGCCATACACAAGCATCAGGTACATACGTATATGTATAGATCTAACGGTTATCTGCACTATTGATTAGTGGAACCCCTTTATAGCCATGGGCGCTGGCAAACAGTTTTTCCAACTCAATTAACTCGCAGTTGGCAAAAGAATATCAAAGCAGAGCAGCGCCATAGCTTTGAGACATACATATAAGCAAGCTACCCCCATATACATTTATTACTCTATATATATATATATATATATATATATATATATATTTATCTCTATATGCTGTACTGCGGTTGCACAATCGAATTATGTGCACGCCAGAAGCATTTTGCAATTGCTAAAGCAATTTGCGTATTCTTGCTTGCTTTCACTAGAATTCCATATTTATGACATAAAGCTTGTGCTTGGAGACGTAAAAAGAGAAATGTGATTAGATTTAAAAATTGAATATATTATATAATATATACATAAATGTACATAAATATTCATACATATATATACCTTCATAATCTAACACATAATTGTGAAATGCGGTTTTATTTACGATTTAAATTGAATACAATGGGAAATGAAATTTAATATTTTTGTTTGCTCCTAGTAGAATATTTGGCTTTTTATGCAACTTTCATTTATGTATATAATGACAACATCATGTTAAAAACAAAATTATAAATAAATATAGAAATTGAATATGTATATTGGTTAAATATATTTCAATATGGCTTATATCTTCATCATTTTTTTGCAGTTCTATGCCATTTTGATTTATGAATTTCATTGATCTATATTAATTACAGTGAGCTTCTCTTATTGTTGTATTAGTGAAACTATGGAAAAAAAATGGTCTATTTAAGGCCTTAAAATATTTTCAATATTCTTTAGGAATTGCTTCAGAGTGTACTTCATTACATATTTTGAATTTTTAAATGTTTAACTTTTTATCAATTATTAACTACAAAGGTTAAATAAAAAAGTATGTTAAAAAGATTTACAGTCCATATTTAAAATAAAACAATCGAGTTTTGATAATTTGAAATGGCAAAGGGATCGTTTTTGTTCTCAATTTACGCAGTAATTCAAACTATCGAGATTTATCGAGAACGAATTTATTTAAAGGGGATAGAAGTTTCTCGATTTTAAGGGATTTTATATTTATCGGGGTACAAATTATCGAGACTCGACTGTAACAGGTTATTAGAAAACAATAAAAATACTGAATAATTTTTCTAATCGGAGATTATTATAATTTTTTATCGATTATCAGTATCACGCGAGACACAATAAGTTAATAAACCAATAAATTATTTAATTAAAATTTATTATTTTACGTTTTACATAAAATGCCTACCAGACTTTCGTAGCTGCCTTTCCATGCGATACATCCCCGTTCTTCTAAACTGCCAAGTGAATTCATTTTGTACTACAATATTCATTCCACATTTGCTTTCTGTCATTTAATCCCAAAGTCTATATTCGCTGCCATAAATAATATCGCAATATAAATACCCTTCAAGACTATCGAAATGTCCTCTTAATTGCGCTATCAATTTAATTAAAAAAAGGTGCACTGCAGTTGGACAGATCAAAAGGATTGGGCACGCTGCGCTTGTGAATGTATGTATGTAAAGTGGGCGTGACACATCGCGCATAATAAAAGCCGCAATTCACATGTCCACTTGCATTCATAATGGCCTTGAGCGTTCGTTTTTTTTTTTTATTTATTTTTTTTTTTTTCTGTTGGACTCATAGCTCGGGTCTTAGCTTAATTTCGTTTCTTTTTTTTCACCCATTTTATGGGTTTTTATTTCTGTTTTTGGGGCATTCAACATTCGTGGCACGAAATGATTTGGGAGCTGGCACACGCGAAAAAGCAGCGCAACAAAAGCTGCCAAAGAAAAGTTGCATAAAATATGCACAAAAAGGAACCAGCTCAGGATGCATATGCCGCATATGGCCATCACCCAGCCAGGAAGTAAAAAAAAAACATATATGAAAGGAAAAATATATATGTCGAGAGATGCGATTACTTTTATTTCGCATAGTGGCCGCTGCCACACACGGCCCTGCCACAAAGAGACAACGGCTGTCCAGCAGCTGATATGGTATTACAACTTGGCCAGTTGCTGCGGACAAGTCCATGTCCTTGGTTAGCCAAAAAAAAAAAAAAAAAAAAAAGAACAGAAAGCGCAAAGCCTTGCAGCCTCCGCCTCCGCATCCGCATCCGCCTCTGCCTCATCAGGCAACATGCCTCACGCACGTGCAACCATTTGCAGCAATTTGCACCACATGAAAAACAAGCCGCATTTCAGTTTTTTTTTCTCGTTTGCACCTGCACAGGTCATAGCAAAACAATGGACACAGGCGGTGCTGCTGAGAATGTGGATGAGAATGAGGTGTATCTTAACAATGAATATGCCCGATATGCATGTGCATTGCTGGAGAAATTCTAATATATTGTTAACAAATATTTATTTTGGTTGATTTGCAGATCAACTTAAATTAAAAAGTTTTTAATATGTATAATTTGTATTTGAATTTGTATAAATCCATTGAGAAATTATATTGAGAATGTATTGACAAATCTCTGAGCATTGTATACATGCCCGACCTGAATTGACCTGTTCGTCTGCTCCTTGAAGCCTTTCCTAGTCAAGCACTATAAGTATATCTTCTCTGTGGTTTCTGTAATTTTTAAAATGGTATAAAAATATAAAATTATTTGTATCTACTTATATAATATATTATTAAAATATATTATTTATTCATGTAATATTTAATACAATTTTTTGTTGGGGCTCCGAATTGAAATTGCTATATACATTCCATCACTACTCGTACACTCCAGCACCAATGAACGAGAATATAAACTTACCCAAAAAGAGAATACTCAAGAGTAGCAACTCGATTTTGGGTGGGAGTCTCGTTCCGTATATAAAAGCGACACACCTGCAGCGGATTTCTAGTCGTATTCCTTAACTCCTCGTGAGCAGTCGTGCAGTGCATTGCTACTCTTCCTCTTCGTCTTCTCTTTTTTATGTGAGATAAATATTTAAATAACTAAGAGCATGAAATATATTTAATAAATAAATCTAGGCAACATTAATTATTATTTATATTAAATTTTTGTTACAACTATATAAACAAATTTATAAATTATTATAAATATATAGAATATATCAAATATAAATTGCTAAGAAATAAATAATTGTTAAAAACCATTTTAAATTCTAATGTAATACAATAATGATCTCTGTTCGACTAATGATTATTTTGCTAACATCATTATGTATACAATATAAAATAGAATTATAATATTGAATTATAATAATAATCTCTGTTATATCGATGATCATTTTCCTACTACTATATCCATCATTATAGATAAGATTAAAATAATTATTGGATAAATAAACTTTGATTGAACAGTTATTATAAGGAAAGAAAATTAATTTTGTATTACTGTTGTTGACTTTATATATTTCAAAGTAAATATAATAGCTGTACAGCACTTTTAAAAATATAATAATATTTTACACAATATGTTTTAAAATGAAGCTTTTTTTCACATATGTATATATAAAAATTAATATATATATAAAATATTATATATATTTAATTATTTTATTTCAGAACTGGCAAACTGCATTATCCCACAGACGTGTGCGGTCCGCTATTTGAGGAGGAACTTGAGTTCTGGGGCCTCGATTCGAATCAGGTAGAGCCATGCTGCTGGTCAACTTATAGCATACATCGCGATACGCAAGTGAGTAACAATACCTAAAATCCAAAACTTACTGAAAATTATGAGAATATCTATTTTGCTTGCCCTTGCAGAACACCTTAGCTATATTAGATAAACTAGATATTGAAAATGAGAAACCCACGGAAGAGCAAATAGCGCGTCTATTTGGCTTCGAGGAGGCTTTAAGCAACGGCGAGCTTAACTGCTGGCAACGTCTCAAGCCCAAGATCTGGGCCATGTTCGATGAGCCCTCTAGCTCAACGGGCGCTAAGGTATATTAACTGATTATATACATATATTGACTGTTTCATTTATAAATATAATTCGCATTCGCTTTTCAGTTTGTTGCTGGCATGTCGGTATTCTTTATATTTGTTTCTGTGATATCATTCTGCCTGAAAACCCATCCTGGTTTTCGCGTGGACCTGCCCACCAGCTACAGCGGCTCCGCTGGCCACGATCCGCTTGCATCGCCCATACCTCAGCAACAGTCGCAGCTGCATCAGCAGCAGCATCAGCAACATCAATACCATCAGCATAGTATAACGCCACCTAGCGGCAGTATCGGTCCCACATTTCGTGTTACGAACTATACGAGCTACAGCAGCGGCAATCTGAGCGCTGCCCAAGCCACGCCCATAGCCAGCATGAAGGGGCGACAGCGTCTGAAACGTGATCTCAATACGACCTTCAATGAGTTTTTCGAACAAAAGCTTCTGGGTAACGATGGGGGACAACAACATGGCTGGGTCGAGACCTATGGCCAGCCACATAAGGCGTTCTTCTACGTGGAGCTGGTTTGCAATGTCTGGTTCTTCATCGAGGTGGTCATTAGGCTCATTGTAAGTTAATTTAAGAAAAATTAAAGAGATTTAGAGATAAAATTGTAGGATTTTGCCCGAATTAATTTAGAAGGTTATCATTAAAAAGCGCAGTATATATACACTATATATATATCTTTATCATATTCTCTAACTTCTTTCACAGGTCTCACCCAATCTGTGGCAGTTCATCAAGTCACCGGTGAACATAATTGATTTCACGGCCACGCTCAGCTTTTATACGGATGTTATGCAACGCATGGGTGAATATACGGGCCTGCTGGAGGCCTTCTCCATAGTGCGCATTATGCGTCTCTTCAAGCTGACACGTCACTCGCCCGGATTACGTATACTCATACACACATTCAAGGCCTCGGCCAAGGAATTGACGCTGCTTGTGTTCTTTCTCGTTCTGGGCATTGTCTTCTTCGCCAGCCTGGCGTATTATGCTGAAAAATTGCAGGTGAGCTGGTGTCTAAATGTAAATTAGCTACATATGTGTATGTATGTGTGGGATGACCCATCAGGAGTAAGAGTATTTCGGCTAGCTATATTTCTGCAGCTCTTGAAATATTCTTTATTGTTTGCCATTTTATTATGAATCTTTTAAATTCCGCGAAATGTATGGAATTAATTGAAAAAGCTTAAGAAATTCCATCTCAGCTCATGATTTACAATATTCATTTTTCATATTTCATATTCATATTTTTTGTTGTATTTATTTTTAATAAAAACAGAAAAGTTCAGTGCATTTATCCTGTTGTTCAGCTATTTCAAAGATTTCTTTTCCATTGTTGTGTTCTATTGTTGTTCTACTGCCTCCCAAATGTATACTACACAATTATGTTGGAGCATGTGCTGTGCGGCTTTTGTGTCCCTAGATTGTTAACCAGATTGACTGGGGCTGACTGACCACTCAAGCACCCTACAGCAATTTTATAAGATTGACTACTGAATACCCTGTCAAAAATAATGAAAATAATGTAATTTTAACATCATGTTAACAGATAATTATCAATAAAGAACAAATATTCTGTTTTATTATGTTAATGAGCTAAGGTTTGTTAGTTGCAACACTCCAACTGTTGATTTAAGTAAAGATATCAACAGTTGGAGTGTTGCAAATTGGTTGATGGAATTTAGATACTCTATGAAAAAAAGTTTATGTCAATTTTAAGCATCAACAGGGTGTTTCTTTTAACATACATTCTGTCAAATAAGTATATATTCAACATATATGAAAATACGGAATATTTTCATAAAATAGAAATGCTAAGGTATGTCAACAGTTGAACAACCGCTTTATTGCTTAACTAAGTATATTATCTACCCAGGACATTTTGACATTAATTAATAATTATAGATGCCAGGGTATTTCAACACCCACATTACACAAGTTTTGATGCTTCAATTTCACTTTTTACTTATTTTTTGTTCAATTTCTTTGGCCTGCAGGACAATCCAGATAATCAATTCAAGAGCATACCACTGGGCCTATGGTGGGCTATCGTCACGATGACCACAGTGGGCTATGGCGATGTGGCGCCCAAGACCTATCCGGGCATGTTTGTTGGTGCACTGTGCGCCCTAGCTGGCGTGTTGACCATAGCCCTACCCGTACCTGTTATCGTTAGCAACTTCTCCATGTTCTATTCGCACACGCAGGTGAGTGAAAGGAAGCGAAAGGGGATGAATAATAAATGTAGCTAATAATTTTAAATACTCTCAACAGGCCCGTTCCAAGTTGCCCAAGAAACGTCGCCGAGTTTTGCCCGTGGAGCAGCCGCGTCGCAAACGTGAGCCGCCGGCGCCGCATCGCGGCCGCACGAACGCCATCAAGCAGACGACGCCGACGGTGGGGGGTGTGGTTGGCGCACATACCACGCTGCAAACGCCCGCGCCCATGTTTAAGGATGCGTTTGGTAGCGCCAAAATTGGTAAGTGCCAGACAAACTTTCTCTCTATCTCTCGCTTCCTCCTCTCTCTCTTTCTCTCGCTCTTTCGCGCGATTGCCTATCCCATTTACATGCCCAACTGTTGTTGTAGTTGTTGCTTCAAAGTTGTTTATAATTTTCTGTTGTTTTTCTTGTTCTTCTTCTTCTTCTTGGTTTTATTTTGCTGGTTGCTGTTGTGTTGCATTTTTTGGTTTCTCGTTCGTGTGTTTAGCCAAAAAGCCAACTGGGCCATAACTCGCTACAACCAAAACACAAACAGACAACAGAACAGGCTCAGCTTAATTTGCTCTACACACGCACACGCACACTCACAAACACATACACATAAACACACACACATCAGACATGCCACACACACACATATGTTCGTCAGCCAGCCAGCTGAGCTCTCTCCAGCGACCAAAACAAATTTCATTCAATTTATTGTTTAATTATTTTTATTATTTATTCACCCTTTAATGGCTCAATGCATCGCCCCCACTTTGGGCATAAGTATGTGTGTGTGTCGGCGCCTCCCCGGGGCGTCTTTTATGGCCAGGGCATGCAAACTATGCTCCAACTATTACTCAAAAGCAGCTGCGCATGTGGCTTAACTCGGCAATTATTAATCCTGAGTGCTTTGTTGGCATCTAGCCAAACTTCAAGTTAAGTCACAAGCAATTCTATCCAGGGTTTTTAGTTTTCTATTCTCTTCTTATTTTATCTCATTTTGGGTCTGTATTGCTTTGTATTATTTATTATTATTATTATTTGAGTTTATATAGTTCCATATAACTTTTAATATTCATACAAATTTGAAAAATTATACATAAAAATGGAAAATATTCTGTGTCATTCATTTAATTTTATTTATTTATTTACGTATATTTAAGATGTGTAGGTATTTTTGAAAAATAATCTTGATTTTATTTTTGATTCTAATAAAAATTTTGATTTATTTATAGGAAAGTATACTGATTTTGTATTACTATTTATTGTATTTTTTCATGCCTCTTTATTTAGTTTTATATTGTTTATCTTGAATTTATTTTATTATATTTTTGTACTTTATTAATATAAATAATTTATTTATATTTTTCGAGAATATATTTTTATTTAGTTTGTAAAATGTCGTACTCCATCTTTTGTGAGTTAGTCATATTAAAATTATTATTTTTCGAAAAACAATATTATTCTTTAATTTGGCTTAAAATTTAACTAAAAGAATCACTCTGGTTATTTTATTATTTGCTAAATGCAATAATAATTTTTCACTCAAAACACGTACGCAAAGTACAAATGCAATACACTCAATCAAACACACACAAACACAATCACACATCTCAGCAGGCCCCTTGAGCGTGTGTATGTGTGCTTTATGATTTATTTGTGTGTGTGTGTATGTATTAATACGCTATATTGAATATTTTGCATATCCTCACAATCTTTTCGATGTTGTTTTCCGTGTATTTGTTTGTTTGATTGTTCGTTGGCTTCCTTCCCACCTCCCAACTTACATACATATATATACATATTCATATGTGTGTATCTGTGTGTGTGCGTGCTGTCATGTAACTGCAACTCGTAACTTTAACTGTAATTGTAAATGTAACTCGTAAAATTGTAACTGTAACTCGTAACTGTAACTACAAATGTATGTATGTGTGTGTGTGTGCGTGTGTTGTGCTTGCGCTTGTGTCTGTATGTGTGCGCGGCAAATGTTAGGCAATGTGAACGGCGTGAATGTCATTGGCCTGCATCTGCACAGGGCACCGCCGCCAGCGAGCTGCGCGGCCAACTGCCACGCCCATACGCCGGCATACGCCCACAGTCACGGCCAAGCTGCGAGTCATGGCCATTGTTCACAGACGACGCTGACGCTGACGCCGACGCCGACTCCGCTGACGACGCCGTCGATGACGCTGACGACGACATTGAATGGCTGCTACACAGCAACGGCAACAACAACAACAATAACAACAACGACTATGACGACGTCGCTGCCGCTGTCGGCCACTGCCTCTGCCGCTGCTGCGGCTGCTGCTGCCGCTGCCGCTGCCGGCCCCTCGTACATCAGTTGTAAGTGTTGTCTTGTCCCCATGTCTTTGCTTTCAACTCTCCTTCCACACTCACACGCACACACACTGGTTGTCCCACTCGCACCTATTGAAGCGCCTGCATGCCTGCAACGGAATTGAAATATTTGATCAGTTCATGTTGTCTTTTCTCTTTTCTCTTTTTTTTTTTACCTTCTCTCTGTAAAGACACGACGAAATTTCATTTTAATGGCTTTGCAAAAACTTTTATGATGCCCCGTCCCATTGTAGCTGCTCTCTCTTTATATCTTTGTCTCATTGTCTCCCTCCCTCTCTCTCACAATTAGCCGGCCATGCCTGAGGGGGGGCTTGTTAAAATTTATCGCATGCTATAAATTTGAGTGCTATAATTTTGTCACTTGAACATTCGGAGTCAATAAAAATAAGCACAAAACTTTTCTTTTATTTTTTGATGTTCCGTTAGCATTTTAGAAAGCGTTTGCCGTATTTGGCCCGTATTTTCGGCATTTGCACGGGCTGCACACAGCCCTTTTGGAAGTACCCGTTTACCCAATTTTATATTTAATTTTAATTACAATTTTATTATGATAGCAGAATGCCTCTTTTATGCCATAATTCAAATGCCCAGCTTCGTCTTTACACACACACTCACATACACATAGACAGACTGAGGCAAAGGCTTGGCAGCATAGAAAAGTTCATTTACCGTCAAACAAATTGAAAAACTTTTTCCATTTGCTTCGTTCGGTAAAGCTGTGGAAAATTTGCCCAAAACTGCACAAAATAAAAAAAGGAGAAAAAATAATAAAGGGAGCAGCAAAATTTTTTACGTCCATCCAATGTAAAAACGTGTCCAAAAATTTCAGCTTCACACAGCTCGCTCGATGTGCATTTTAATTAAAGGACTTAAGGACTGCAGCGCAAGTCAAGCGCAAAGTGCCTTCCAAAACTTCTCTAGCTGCCCGACTGGACCCTCAAGCCATTTCACGCTGTCTCTGATTAACTTGACGAGTGGCGCAAGGGTAGATAAAAATGCCCGCCCCTTAGCTCCTCAGTTTATTATGGGGAGGTTAATCAAATTATGAATGAACTGACTGGCGGCAAATAATATTGTATTTATAGAGCGTTTTTCTGGGGCAATATATGGGCTATACAATGTATCAAATTCTGATTGCATTTAAAAATGTATATATATGTATATATAAGCAGAAATCAAAAATATTTTTGCAATATGCAGACTACTTTCTGAAGACTTTATTAAAACAGATTCAATTGCTTTTAGACCGTAAATGAGTAAAAACCTTTACGAATAATATTATAGAATAATATGGCATATGTACATATACATATGTACATACATATGTGTACACATAGTACCTATAAATATCATTAATTTATATATAAATTGAATAAGCTAATTGCCCAATTTCTGACAATTATATCTGACAAAAATCAATTTGAAATTTCAACTAAAACTTACGCCTAATTTAATTGTAATATTTAAACAGCTTCAAGCCTAAATGCCACGCCCACTTCCTTAGCTCTTTGGCGCACTTCCTGGCCAAGTGTTAAGTCCTGTTGCGAATGCTGTGAAAAATTGGATTTCTCTTTGGACCGGAAAATGTCGTAGTACGTGTTGCAGTCAAAAGTATTTGGCACAAGTTAGTTGTGTTTTTTCTTTCTTTCTTGCTTTCGTTGGGGCATTCACTTAGGTGACTACCAGAGTTAGACACAGTCCGCTGCGAGTTCTGACCCCTTTGGGCCAGCTACATGCTACAAAGAGCATAAAAATAGCAAGTAAATCATTAGCAGGCATGGTCGGTTGGTGGGCGTGAAAGTGTGGCAAGGTTGCTCTCTGTGTCGACTTCTAGTGGTCATTAAAATGGGCAGCACACCACGCAAATGGTTGGACGTTGCAGCAATTTATGTGTGCACAGCACAGTGGTGCAGGCCTGCAAAATTAAATGCAATTTCGTCAGCCAACATTGAAAACACCTCGGAGCGAAGTGACGATGCGGATGCTGGCAAGGGAGGGGGAGCTCGGGGGCTCTTGGTACTGGTGGAAGTGCCCACATTTCATGCCCCTATTTATTTTTACGCCCATTTGCTGGACGTGGCGGCTGCTCCATTTGGTGCGTGTTGCCTGGGCAGCTGTACCGTAAATTAATTTGTATACCCTAACAGAGGATAAAGTCCTTATTTTAAGTACTATGTTGGCTCGGGTGTATACGTAACTGTAAAGTTTTCTTCAAAAATGTCTTCCTATATTCCCTCATTGCTTTCTTTTGTACTTAAGCAGTCGACCTATCGATTAATTTTGTTCACTTCTTAAAATTGTTGTGCTCCGTGGATGAAAATGCGAGAGAGAAAAAAAGGGCAAAAGTAAAAATATTTTCACACACTTCTTCTGCTGGACGAGCTTTGCGCGCCTCGACTGAGCGCATGTTTTCCAACGTCTGCATTGTTAATGGCTAGCAAAAAGCCGCTAAGAGCCGGCGTCGGAAAATGGCGAAACTGCGCCAAATTGAAAAGAAAATTTTGTCGGTAATGGGATATATAATGGGCACGTATTTAAATGGTATGGCTAAAAAGGGAAATGAAACACGCTAAGCTGAAAATACAAATGAGATTCTGTTTGAATGGCAGCAACAATTATGTGAATAAAATAAAATAAAAATATTAACAAATAAATAGTGGCTCAAATAAATAAATAATTTCTGAAGTAAAATATGTATACAAAAAAAAAAAAAAAAGTTGTATTCTTAAGACTCAGCGAGATAAATTAATTGAAGATAGATAAAAGACATAAATAGCTAAAATTGATAAAAGAGATAGTGAGGGAGAGCCTAGGAGAGAGTGAGAGTGTGACCATGTATGCGAGGCAAGGGGAGCTGAAACTGCTAAATGTAAAGAAGGCTTTGGAGATGATATGCTGAAATCCAGAAATTAAATAAATAAATGAATCAAATAAATAAATCCCAACTTAGCTGCATATGCCATTTACGAACCTTGAAAGTTATCCAAGAAATATGATATGATATATGGGAATCAACTTTTGCATGTCTAAAACATAAAAATAAAATAGTAGTAGAAATAGTAGTAAATAGTAGTATTTATACTTGTCTTCTGTATGATTAAATTAAATAATATACTGTTGGCATGATTAAACCAAGTCGCTTGCTTATATCATTGCTTAAAGTTTGGCTAAATAAAATGAAATCATGTTGCTTACATAATAAATATATTTACTGTAATGTAATAATATAATATTTGTCATTTATATAGCAGTTCATCTATCTTTAATGTGTGAAATACTTGTATTATAATTTATCACCAGAAATTATGCACATTTTCAATAGCTCAAACTTTATTTTTATTTTTGTTGTCACAGAAAGCAGAATTTAACTTTATAACTTTTTAAAGATTTCCTTAAAAAACTTTCTTTTTTTCTGAAACTTTTGTCAAAATATTTTACAAGAAACTGTAGCAAAAAAAAGTTGGAAAATTTCCTGCGTGCTTTCTTAAAGTTTTCGCATGGCCACGAAGGATTTCTGATTGTTTGCAATTTCTCTTGCTTTATTTGTATTTGATTTTTTATTTTATTTTACCATTGTTAGTTAAACTTTTGGTTAACATTGTTTACATTTGGGCTGGAGCACATTAAAAAAAACACGTTCAACTGCTTTTCGCATTTTAGCGGACTACTTAAGTGTGCCCGCCGTGCAGAGCCTGCAGCCGAGGGCGGCAACAACCGGACACGACTTCATGCTGCCGCTCCAGCCGAAACCTGCCGTACCCCTGGGTGAGTCGATTATTAGACTAGAGGCCGCATAGCTTTCCGATAGATAATTGTGTTAGCTGTCGGGGCCACATTGTTGACCTAGGCCATTGTTTACACGAGCTGCAACTGCAACTGCAGCTGCTGCTGTGCAAAAGTTTGCACTGATAACAGATTTGGTTCAATATTGGCATGAAGCAAGCACACAATGTGCCCGGCTGATAGCACAATGCGTTGACATGCGCTTACACTTCCGTTTCCCACAGTGACACTGTCTGAGTGCCTCCCATTTACTCTGCCCCCTTTTTGGTGCTCGTTTACAGAACGCAAGGATCAGCATCCTCTACAGCTGACCGCCCACAATTTGGCCTCCGATACGCAACAGCTGTATGGCAGCCACGGCCACAGCCCCAAAGTGGGCACCGCGCTGAGTGTGCCGCCCACCATCAGCATGACGCACACTCAAATGCCGCCGGGCATGGCCAGCATGGGTCAGCGCACACCGAATCTCAGCTACCGGGCCACACACACATATACGCATGCGCCCATACAGCAGCCCATACCGCAGCACTATCAGCAGCTGGAGTCGTCCTCCACGTCGAACAACTGCAACATCAAGATCTCCGTGGCAGGCGCCTCGGCCCCAACATGTGCCGACGCACATGGCCAGAGCATGGCGCCCAAGGTGACGCTGCTGGACGATCTGAGCGATGAGATCAACTCATCGACAGATGACTGCGCCGAGTGCTGCCTGGTGGATGACAGCGATACGTACGAGACCAGCAACAACAATGGCGTCTCCTGCGGCAATCGGCAGGCCCAGCCGGAGGAGGAGAGCGCCACGGCTGAGGACAGCGGCGACAGCTCTGGCGGCATTTACGTTGGCCCCAAGCATTGATTATTGGCCATCAAGTGGGAATTTCCCTGCTAGTCGAGGTATGTACATCTATATATTGTTTGTATTCGAGTTTGCTACGGCCATGCATCGAATTGAGAGCAAACAATGTAAGCCATGCAATTAGGTTATACCCTGTAAATTGGCCATTAAGACTGCCTAAGCAACTTCATTGATTAATTTTATTAATAAATATTTTATTTGATTATTTTGTTGTATTTTTATTTTTATTTTTTTTTTTCAATCTTAAATTTTAAGTTTAAGAATTTTCATTTTATTATTTATTTGCTTTTTTTAATCTTAAATTTTAAGGGTTTTTTAAATTTTTTTAAATTGTAATTTATTTTTTGTGATAATAAACTAAAATCTTACCAGTAATTTCTGAGAATATTCGCAATAAGAAATGCTCTTTGCTGCCCGAATCACTCTGTTGTAAATCAAAGTTTTTCTCAAGACACGCCCCAGACTTGTTGTTCCAGAGCTAAGCATGTCTCGAGCATGGAGCGAGCGAACTTCCGTTACATTTGTGTTGTCCCTATAACTGTCATGTTGACAACTGTCATTGACAGAGATATATGTATGCCTGCATCCGGCAGGGCGGAGGAGGGCGGGGCGTGGCGATACTGAACTGAACAGAACTGAACTGGACCCGGCTGACTATTTTCATGCCAAGACAAACACGATGCCAGACAGTGCACAAAGGCAAACATATCATCCAAATAAACGTGTCCACTTACATGTCTACATGGGTGGGGCAATTCAGTGGGGAGTTGTACGGGTCAAGCGGTGTGAGTTGTTATTGCTATTCCGCTTCCGCTCTATTGCTTAAGTTGCTCTCCAGTGAGGTCTGTATGTCTGTTTGTCTGTCTGTTTGTCTGTCTGTCTGTGGCTGACACTTGCCAAGGTGTTTATCATATAAATCTTGGCTGCCTGTAAACATGCAACTATAAATTTTAACACCCGAGTAAGCTTCATCTATTTCAATCTATTTCCCTCTCTTCATCTCTAAAGTTCAAATAAAAACCATCAAACGGAATGTTTGTCAGACTATTTCAATGAACTGAAAAATTATAGCTGCTAAGATTGCACTGGAATGCTCAGCTTGATAATACCCTAGAAATGGTTCGGCAATGGGGTATAAGCGATGGATACTTAAGGATTTACAAATTACTTAAGTATATTTTTAGTGCAGCAATTTATTTTCATTTTAGATCACATTCTTAAATCATAAATACGCCTTATATTCCCTTATTACCATTTTGAGTATATCTTTAATATTCATTATAATTATTAATTATAATGGTCATTATTAAATATTTATTCTGATTTTTATTATTCTTCTCATTATCGTTGAATTCAGATTTCATATTTACTTTTTTAGTCTTTTTTTTTTTTAGAAAAGGTAAGCAACATTTCTAATTGGTTTCACACATACTCTCCTTGACTGCCATGAGTCTTTAGAGGGTATAAATAATAATGTCGACACAATGGCGACCATGGCTAAAAGTATAATGGCGCCAAACTTAATTTGATGCCACTTTTTTATTCCATTTGCATTTCTTTGCTTTTGTGCAGACAACGACATGGCTGCAGATCCTATACAAACATATAGATGTATATACTATATATATATGTAACAGAAAAACATATATCTTTGGTCAACAGTTTTTGACCATTTAATATTTTACTCAATTTATGTGGTTTATCTAAATGTAAAATCGAAAGTGTCAAAAGAAAATGAAAGTTTTTGTAAATAATCGTTTAGTTTTTAGGGCAAGGTATCAAGAACAGAACAGAACTTATATAGCGCATGTCCATTCAAACTTATCTGAGGTTCAAACGTAATTTTTGGTCCAATACTTATAGTTTTTTGATGTGAAATTGAAAATTAAATGAAAATTCAAGGATTTTCAAACACATTTGATATGGAGTAAAAACAAAACACCTAAAAAAAAAAAAAAAATAGTAAATAGAGCAGAGGAAAATTAGTTAAATGTAAACTTAATTCAAATGATGCATCATAGGAAATATAGTAAGTAGCTAAGTAAATAAATGATTAGACAGGCTCAAACATCTCGTTTACAGTAAATAAAGTAAATTTTAATAATTACCTACTACTACATTGAAAGAAATCCATTTTAAAAACAAAAAGAAATTTAAAAAAAAATTATTCGTACTATAATACAAATAATTGGTTTTTTTTTTATTATTATTAAGTGGTTTGAATAGTTTATACTGATGTTTCAATATATTGTTTATATTAGCTACTCAACACCCGCAGTGATAGTTTGTTCTATATAACCAAAAGCAATTTGCTAATTTAAGCAAATTTAAACAAATTTCCTGAAGTTCACATATTACAGAATTGAAATTAATTATAAAAAAAAATATACATAATTCAACAGATTTAATTAAAATTTTGTTAATGTACATTGTATTTAAAGTTATGATAAAAAAGCCTAAAAAGAAATTAATTACGTTATTGCATAGCAAAAATTTAATTTGATTAAATCTAAAACATGGACAAACTATGCGAATTCCGGCAAGCGGAAATACAGTTCAACGATTTCTATAATTACGAATATTAAAGAAAAAAATGACACCTGCTCTGTCCAGGTGAATAAATAACTAAATTTAAATTAAAAACTGTTTGTAATATATATTTAAAAAAAAATCGACTATTTAAACACAAAAATTTGCATTAATTGATTGCACAAGGATAAGATGAAACTGTATTTCCATAACAGAAAATGCCAATAAAAAAAAGAAAATGTAATAAAAAATATGAATAGATACATATATGTGTATACAGCTATATATATGTATATATAAAATGTTTAGAAAAGAGCCCAACAATTTGAGCAAATTTTTAAATGTTAACAGTAACACAATTTACATTTAAACAAATTACAAAAACAAAAACAAACAAAAATTTGTGGTGTATGTGCAACAAACAAAAAATTTCCAATTTTAAAAATAAAAAATACAATTTCATTGAATATATGTACATGCAATGTCAAGGATGACAGCGAAATTTCATCAACAGTCTACCCAACACACACACATACGCACACACACACACACAAATTTAATACACGTACACCCATACATATGGTAATTTTTTCACGAGGGAATAAAGTAATTCCATACATGGTTCTCTTTTTTTCCAGCGCATGAAGGCAATGGCTAAACAAGAACGTGTTTATACCCTCCTGGCACAATATGTATGCGTTTTTAATATATATTCATAATGTTATGGGTTGTCCAAATCAAGATCTAAAATTGAAGTTGAAATATAGCGAAATGTAGGATTAAGTTGAATAGTAATCTCTAGATGAAGATTAAATATTAAATTGAAGGTGAAGACACAATTGATTATCAATTTAATTGTTAGCTGAATTATTGAGTTTTATTACCAAACTTAATAGTAATATTAATCCTAAAGTTCATTGTGAGTATTAATTTGAACTTACGATGAACGCTGCAATTAACTTTACTATCAGCTATGTCATTTATCCCTTAAGTTTATCATCTACTTCATTTTATTGGCAAACTCAGGAATGTTGAATACTAAAGGATAAATTAATTTCAATGTAATAAGGATAGCAGGAAAGTATGGTTAAGGGTTAACTAAATGGTAAGTTTAATGGCAAGTTTATCGTGAATACTAATGATAATCTGGAAAATAATGGTAATGTTAAATTAGTTCCCAAGGGTAATTAAATAAATTTTAAAGTCTATGTTGAAGGTAAAATTATTATTTAAATGCTAATGAATGCTAATAATCTTAATGGTAATATTATTTTAAAATTGTATGCCAAAGGTAAGACTCATATGGTGATGGTATAGCTGATGGTAAACTCAATGGTAAATTTGTATCGTACAGTTAAAAGTAAATGCAAACGGAGCTAATAATTTGCATAATTAGAAGCAACATTATTTAGAACCTCGTGGAAACAAATATAATTGATAGTAAGCATAGTAAAATAATAAAAGTAATGAACTAAATATATACCGCAAGATAGATATGTCTTCAAATTGAAAGAATGCCATGAGTAAACGAGGAAGATTATTGTAGAGCTAGAAGCTAAGAATCTAATAAAAATTTGCAACTAATACTTTGAAATTATACAGGAAAAATCTTACAACACAAGAACATTTTCACCCAATTTTGTCCTCGAAACTCTGAAACAAAGTGATTAAATCTATGTTTTAATTTATGCATTTAAAGGGTATCTAATCTTTGTGCATATCTATAGCCCCTATTTCTTGTTAATTTTAAAAGCAAACGCAGCAGCCACCATTTGGCTATTAACAACGTATCAGCTGAGGCTTAAAATTATGGCCACATAGCCCTCATATGGCCATTCCGAAACAAATTTATGTGCGCCGCATAGCTAGACCAGAGAGAAAGACAGAGAGATCGAGTGAGTGAGTGAGAGAGAATGATAAGGAAAAAAATAGCACTGAGGACTGCAAGTGATGGTCTCTAATGTCGACACTTAAATACACACGCACACAAACGCAACGTCACCCAACCCCACTCACGCGCACGCACACTCACACATACACGTAGACGTAATACGGTCTAAACCGTTTGCACATCAAAGCGCAAATCCATTAGGCATAAAACCGCCAGGCAGGTAGGACAAGCAAGAAAAAAGAAAGCTAAAACGAAAAGTGAGAAGCTTATCTACGTAAAATGCTTGTGCATAAGCGAGTGCCTATGTGTACGAGTGTGTGTGTGTTTGTGTGGGTGTGCCCCTAGAGTGTGCTAAACTAAGCGGGGGATGAGAAGCGCCGAGAGAAACAGCTCTAAAGCAAGCACAAGATTAATGAGCAGCACCTGCCTGCCGACAAATTATATAGCATAATTCACTTTGAGCCCCATTCGCATATGTTTACCGAAATATCTCCAAGCTCGGTCGCTCAGTATTTCATGGCCAATATTTTGGGTATGCGCGAAAATAAGTAGAAATTCTGTTAACCAATCAACTTCGGCTAGACAATATCTAAAAAAAAAATTAAATTAAATGAAATAAAAAACAAAAACACAAATATTTTTTAAGTTTGAAGAAAATGTTTTCTTGAAAAAGAACAGCCTGAATGCCAAGCAATATTGTTTGCTAAGTTACGCCAATAAAAGCTGTGCCAAATTGATATCGGCATATTAATATCGCATATTAGTTATATTATATTTGACTTAATAAATCCTTATAGAATCATTTGTACTTTGACGTCTCAGCTCTCTTGGCTAAGCCAATCAAATGGTATTTTCTCATTTTCTTTTTTGTTTTGTTTTTTGTTTTCTTTTCCCCCTTTCGAGTAATCAAAGTTAGCAGCTGTGACCTGTTTGTGTCCCTGGCCTGCTTAGAAATGCAATACAATCCGTGAATGATTCGCTTTTCTACTTTTTGTTTCTCGTTGTTTTTGTTTATACTTGTTTTGCGATTGTTTTCATTCGCATTTTTTGCCCATCTAACGATGATTGACGATGATTGAAAGTTACAGTGGCAACAAAAACCACAAGCAATAAAAACAGCAACAACTGCAGCTGGCTTTCATGTTGGCAAACCCTATGACAGACGGTCTGTTAAACTAAATTATTATCTAGAGAAAAAGGTTACGTAATGGAAAAGACAACTCGATTCAAACTATATATATTATATAGAAAATAGTCGGTACTAAATATTTGAAAAGGGAAATGAAACTATCACTAGAAGGAATTAGACAACAAGAGACACGAAAGTACAGAAGAGTGCAGAGCAGTCTACCACGGCAAGGAACAGTAAATCGATAAATGTTTCTGTTTCGGTATCGGTTATTAGTTTTCATCTCATACGTCTTGGCTGCAAGGGCTTATAATACAAAATTTAATAAAGTATACGGCTTAATATAATATTAATTATTGTTACATTTTGGATAGCAGCTTCTAATTTTACCAAATTCTTTAAATTGCAATTCAATCTCAATTGTAATTTTTAGAATATGGTATCACATATCATTTCCACTAACACTTCCACTTCACGGCTTGAATGAAAGATTTGGAAAATAGGAAGAAATTGGATTTTGAACAATAAGTAGCAATTAGATCCTAATTAACAAAGAAATTTCGATATCGTATTTATATGCCCTGCGATGTGTTATAGCTTCATCTGCTACAATTGTAAAGTATATGTATTAAGCAATTAGTAGTCCTATAGGAGTGACATACAATTGAACTGACACGTTGCACAACACCATGGAAACTGTCAGCTTACAATGACCACAATCGCTAAGGATACATAGGCCTCTACGTGCCGTAGCGAAGACTGTTTCCTCCCGTGCACCGTGTCTATAAATAATTGGCATTCAACAGTTAAATAGCTCAGTGATTAGCTCACATTTGGGTTGGAGTTCTCATTCAACAGTTGAAGGCCAGCCCAGCCATTTAGGGTCTATGACGGGCAGACAAAAGTCGAAGAACTTCACAGTCAGCAAAGGCAAATTCTCTTTATTTTCCGCTTCTCCGTTCGTTCGTGCAACAAAATTTATTGTTACAGATAGCCGAAAAAAAAAAATAGAAACGTGGTGGTTGTTGGGGGCAAAAGTGGAGAAAAGTAAATTTCCGTTGCGTGTGGCACAGAAATCGTGTCGAGATATGCAGCAATCGCAATATAAATTCCAAATAGATGGAAAGCAATGTGGGCTATCGAATGCGGGCACATGATTTGTTTAGTGGGTTAGACACGCAGCCATGGTCAGTGCTGGCTCTCAATCGCTATTCATCTTCATCTCCATTCCCCTCGCTATATTCATCGTCGTACTCAATCCCATCTTCATTGTCAAGCTCATCCTCCTCCCCAACCTCATCATCAAGCTCATCCTCCTCCCCAATTTCATCCCCATCCTCCTCATCGGCAACACCATTCTCATACTCGACCCCATCACCGTCGCCATCTTCCTCCCCCTCGGAACTGGTGGTCTCGCCGTATCTTGAAAATATGGCCCGCCTACAGGCTCTCAGTGTGCGTCGCCTCTCGCAGCTGCTCATGCGACTAATGCAGCCAAGGATGCGTATCATATGCTGCCCGTTGCGCTTTATCTTGCGCATTGAGCAGTCCAGATAATAGGGTACATCGGTAGCTCTGATTACAAACCAGACAATTGCACCGCTCACCGCCACGGTGGTCAACCCATGCAGGCAGTACTGATGCAGTTCGTGCCGGCAGTCGTCCATTCGCAGCTCATGAATTAGCTGCTCCGTCAGCCAATAGATAATTCGCTCGAGACCGCACCAAATGCGTAGCATCGCAATCTCGGCCAGAAATAAGCCAGCCACAATCTCGACTATCAGCTGACATTGCCAGGCCATGTGCATAAAGCGACGCGGATATATGCTCAGGTCCCAGAGGAAGCAGAGCGTGGCCAGTAGAAAGAGCCAGCTGCCCAGGCAAGGAGCTGGTGAGCATTGATCCTCCGGCTGTGTCATAAAGTACGAGTAACCGAGCAGCTGCAGTAGGCCAACAATGGAGACGGACAGTGCCTCCATTTGATACCTATATTTATTTCTTACAGTCTTTAGTCGAAGCTCTTTACTTTTTTAGGAATTTAAATGACATATGAAATATGACAGATAAATTTTTTTAGGAAAGGAAAATATCTTCGAGTGGATGTGGATAAATATCTGTATCTGTATCTGTATCTGTATCTGTATCTGTATCTGTATCTGTATCTGTATCTGTATCTGTATCTGTATCTGTATCTGTATCTGTATCTGTATCTGTATCTGTATCTGTATCTGTATCTGTATCTGTATCTGTATCTGTATCTGTATCTGTATCTGTATCTGTATCTGTATCTGTATCTGTATCTGTATCTGTATCTGTATCTGTATCTGTATCTGTATCTGTATCTGTATCTGTATCTGTATCTGTATCTATATCTGTATCTGTATCTGTATCTGTATCTGTATCTGTATCTGTATCTGTATCTGTATCTGTATCTGTATCTGTATCTGTATCTGTATCTGTATCTGTATCTGTATCTGCATCTGCATCTGTTTTTGTATCTGTATCTCTATTTGTATCTCTTTTAGTATCCTTATCTGCATCTCTACCTTTACTAATGGCCTCCATCTAGATATACTTATTCACGGACTCGAATGTCCACCTGCAAAGTGCCAACAAATTAACATAGCATTAACCGCTATTAATCAATTGGATGCAGGAGGCAAGACAATTACGGGCTGCCAACAATTTGTTGGCCATGTTATCTGCCATCTTGTTACCTGACTCAAACTGTTGGCTTCAATTTAAGAGCTAGCTAACTGACAGCTAATAGATCTACTACTCCGAGTTCGCACTCCCCATTACACACCCAATCGCCCACACGCACATACATACACGCATACATACAGACACACACACACAGACACCTTTATAGATTGTGTAAGTGGCATTTGAATAGGGTTCATTGTTGTTGGCGCTTGACATTGGGTTCGGGCTCAGCTCCTGTCTAGGCTGCCTGTCTATTTAAAAATTGATTTGTTGTTATTTACATGCCGCATTTTTTATCAGGATCCCCCTTTAAAATTCTGCTATTCACTTTCTATCGAATGTTATCATTGTCAGCGGCGATAATTGTGGGAAAGGAAGAGCCCCGCCTCCTGGCTGCTGCCAATGAGAATTCAATTTGTAAGTGTCAATGGCAGTTTAGTAGATGTCACCTATCTGCTACTTTTTCTTTTTTATTCGTTTTTGTGCCTCTTCATCTTCATTTTTTTCGAGTTTCTCACATTTTTATTGGCATTTTGTCCAGTGAACCGAAAATCCCTAGTTGATTTGGGAGAGCAACAAGTTTAGCCAAGGCTGATGACCAGGATAATCAATAAGGGGTGGGGGAGAGAGGGACAGATTCGAATCGGAATGCGATAAGCTTACACCGCGTGACTCTTTGTGCCACTGCGAATGCGACGTGCAGCGCAACGGGACATTTAACTGGGGATGTTAACGTATTTATTACCATAATTGCTACAGTTGAAGATACATATATATACATATATATATATATATATATTTTAGTCTGTAGGTATGTGTGGGACGGCTTAGCTGTGCAGTTCGTTTGGGATTGTCTGTAATTGAAATCAGTCGCTCAGAAAAATCTCTCAAAATTTGCCAGAAGCATCGCCGTGGAAATAAATAACAAATAGCTGAGTATATACCATGTACAACTGAAAAAATTATAAATAATGGAAGAAAAAAATTGAAAAGATTGCCTTCAGAGTGCATCGCTTTCATTATGAATAGTTTATGATCTTTTTCGGATGTTTTAGTTTTAGTTTTTAGCAATTCAAGGAGAAAACTTTATAAAGATATTTAAAAGTGAATAAATGTAAATATGACTAAATTGGCTATCAAGATTTGTTACCTATATCTACAGTCTCAAACTATCAAACTGTCAAAAGTAAATTTAATGTAGGTAATTAGCTTAAGGCAATAAATTATGAAACTTCATGCTGCCCATAAAATAGTCAAATACTATAAGTATTGCTTCCGTTTCTATATTGATTCCATTGCTTTTTATAATTCTATAATTTATATAATATATCTCTATTTAAGAAAAATCTTTCATTCATGCATTATTTAATAATAATTGTTCTAGTACTTAAGCTTCAAGCATCTGATAAAATTCTTTTTTCATGAATGCTTAATATTGTTAAGCTGAAAGCAATGCGATAATGCATAATGCATAAGCTAATGAGAAATTAATGACTAATGACGCTGTCAGCCATTAACGGTGTACAAAGACTCCGCAAAAATTAAAAAAAATAAGAGAAATGAAAAGAGTCTTAATCGGGATTGTAACAGACAAGTCATGCACTTAAAATTACTTTTACACATATACAGATTTATATGTGCATGTGCCTTTAAATATGTATATACTCATGTTTGTGTGTATGTATGTATGTTTGTGTGTAATATATGTATATATTCATGTAATTTCGCACGTGCAATTTTAATGAACTTTTCACACTCATTACACTCAATGGGAGCACACAGACAGCGCAGAGTTGCGAGCTCGACATTCCATTACCCACACACTTGCAAACGGCACACACACACACATACACACGAACATGCACTTTCATATAGGGCATCGTTTAACTTCCGGTTTTGTCGCGTTTTTGTAACCGCACGCAACATCTGCAAAATCATGTCAGATTGCAACAGCCGCTGTTGCCTGACTTTACTATACCCTGTAAATACAAAGAGCCGTCCCTTGTCATTATTCAAATACTAAAATTGACAGTTTTAAATATAGCCCGCGCATACTTAGACTAAGCATATGCTTAAGAGACCTGATAAAAATGTTGTGTGACTTAAATATATCCTATATTAAATATTTATACCTATTTGAGTGATTTGGTTAGGTGCTCTAAAACTTCAGATTAATTTTAATTAGTTAATTGCCTGACTTAAACTTACCCTACTGCATTTCAGAGTAATCTATTGATTATGAAATTAAGTAATACTGAAAATTGTTTTATTGAATTTTACTTTAGAGTAAATTGAAGAATGTGATATAACAGAGACTTACAATACTAGTAATTCAACTTCTGAAACTATTGCCACACTTAGAGATACCCTGCATTTATTTTCAATTAATTAATGCACACCCTATACCATGTTCGCTAAATTGTACATGCCTAGGTATTATAGAAAATATAATATAATTTTGATTTTTGTCCTCTTTTTCCAACCGTTGCACAGCTTTACAAATGTGGAACTAATTGACTGTTAAATTTAATCCGGGAAAAGTCAGTGCGTTGTGCGTAGCTATCAGTTCCTCAATATATGTAATATATATGTAAAAATAATCGCATTATATATTATACATATGGATATAAAATTAATGGCAGGTAACGTAACTTTAATAGATTTTTTTAAATATAATAATTATATACCTTATAATTTTTATAAATAATTTATTTGTTAATTTATAATTTAATTTTATAAGCTCAAAATATTTGGTAAACATTTATGGCACTGACATAAAAGGGCATGACCTACCCTATAATATCTATCTTTCTTGTCACTCTTGAAAACAAGAACTTGACTATTTTAAATAATTTACAATTTATTGTATTATTTCTGATTGAAATTGATTGGTATTTCAACAAATATGTAAAGGTTGTATTTTTTTAATTCGCTGCAGTTATTATTATTCAATTACTTTTTAAACTAATTGCCATCCTTTAAACACTCTAAAGTTAAATATCTCACGTACAGGGTATATACATATACACATATACATAGATAGAACGAGAAAGAGAAAGAGAGGTGGGAAGACAAGCTTGTCTTGACTTGTCAAATCGTGCGCATAAAACTTTGGCCATGAAAAGTTTTGTAGCCTTCCATCCTCGAACCCGATGCGCGTGGCAGTCGAGTCTGACTCAAACTGAGAGTCGGACTCAGACAGGTTGACTGATATATATCTGGGATTGGGTAACAACAATGTTGGGTGTCATCTAGTGCATGCTGAATGCACATGATGTGGCCTCATTCGCATGCTACGTGATCTGCTGAGTTTCTATCGGGTCTTGTCAAAATGCCTTCCAAACTGATTCGGTTGCGCGTTTGTTCTCCACATTTTCCTGGCACTTTTTCCCCTTTCGGCTACGACTTGTGCCGCCGCGTCTCGAGACAAATTGAATTGGTGCATTTTTTGTGCGGTGCATACAAATTGCAAGCCAACTGGCGCTGACGTTGACTTGCTCGTTGAGATTTCGTTAGCTACTCTCACCTCGGATCTATGCACTTTGCCAAGAAGTTAAAGTATACGTGTGACTATAACTATAAGTCTTATGAGTTGTATCATCTAATAGCACTAAGTTGACATCTCCAAGATTGCTGTAAATTATTTGATATATATTTCCAATATTTTAGGGTATTTCATGGTCGACTCTCTGGCCAGTCTTGTGTTCCCTTCACGTCTTCTGTGCCCGCTGAAAATCACGCTAATTGTCGCACAGCAAATGTCGTTGCATACATTTTGGTCGTCGAGCCCGTTGCACAGTGGTCCCATCGGGCTTGATGCCCGGCTCCATTAACATAAATTTGAATAAGAAATCGTTGGATGCTACAGCTGCATTTATATAGTTGCAGAGCAGTGGTTAAATCCCAATACCATTTAAAGCTAGCTCTTAAACAATCTCACTAAAAATATCTCAATAAATATTTTAAAAACTTCCAAAAAATACAAACTTTAATAATAGCATAAAAAGCGTATGAATATTTCTTTGACTTGTCTGAACTTTTTCTCTTTTGTTGTCCACCTTCGGTCGGCTCAAAGCCTTGTCATGTTTTTTGACATGCAAATGCAAGCTGTGGCATCTGGCGCATCCGTACTTGCAGTTGGCATCTCGTTTTAAGTCCTTTGTGTGTGTGTGTGTGTGTGTGCTGGGGTGTGCAGTACATATTATAATGGCAAGCCCCTCAACATAAACAAAAGTCAACGCTTTCAGCTATTAGGAAAACAATAACAAACACTCCGCCAGCAGCGCCAACATCAACAAAGCATTCCAGTGCCACCTGCTGCCAGCCAGTGCCCATACGCTAACCTCCCTCTCACTCTATCTCCATCTCTCTCTCTCTCTCTCTCTCTCTCTCACTCTCTTTGTTACCCAAACAAAGATAAAGAGCGACGGTCAGCCACAAGCCGAACAATGATGACGATGCCGATGATGATACCCAGGTCCAGGTCCAGGTCCCCCGACCTATGCATAATTTATAGGCAAGTGCAGTACCGCAATATGTAGGGGGTACTCAAGAATTGCTGATGCCGATGCTCCTACTGTTGTTATTGTTGTTGCTGTTGCTCTTGGTTGTGCTTGAGGGTTTCGGCTTAGGGTCGCGGGCGCACATTTGCATTTAAACACATTTCCACACTCATGAGCTGCAAACTTGTGCAACACTTGTAACACCAGTCTTAAGCATTAGCGAACCACTAGCAATATGTACATATATAGACGAAAGATCTTAAGAGGTATTAGAAAATTAAGTCTGGTTTGCTTAACAGATTAACAAGAATTTGTTTAACTAATACTAAGCCAGTACAATGAAAAAGGTTTCAAAATTTAGATTATATAAATTATTTGTATTCCTCTTATATCTTGGATTTCATATATTAGCCATAAAATTTATGCAAACATATGTTCTTTATATGAATTATAATTTTAAGTAAATTTAATATATTAAAATGCTTGAAATATTAAAATAAATTAATATAATAATAAAAAACAATTTCATCATTTCTAATATTATATTACAAAATAATTATAAATATAATATATTCACTAATTTTTTTAATTATTTAAAAATCAAAATATGATTGATTATTTAAAAAAAATATTAAAAAAAAAAAAAAAAAAAAAAAAAAAAAACATTTAAAGAAGTCTTTGTTTTGTAAATTGTATAAAAAAAATATATTTTTTCTATTTTTTTTAAGAATATCTTATAATATATTAAATATTTAATACTTTAAATATACATGTAATATATAAACGCAAGATTTGTGTATTTTAATATTTAAAAATTATAAATCTTAATTTTAATATAATCTGTATTAATATAACATACATAACCATATTGATTGCAAGTATGCCATATTTTAATATTTTCGCATTCATATTCTTTAATGCCTATCAAGCTTTAATTCACTCCGATTTGACATTCAAATGCAGCTAATGAGATATGCACAGATGAGCCCAAAAAGTCTCGTCTTGCTCTTGCACTCTCTCTCTCTCTCTCTTTGTCTCTTATTTTACGGTCATTGTCTTTGGTCTTTTGGCAGCCATGACATTTTCAGATTGCGCATTCGCCAGGTTGAACGGTGCAAATATTTCAATTAGCTGGTCTAACAAATTTTTAATAGTTGTCAGCTGCATAGACTTGATAAATGCCAAAGTGCCAGCCAGTTGCCAGTTGCTCTTAATGCCACACCCCACCACACAGTTAGCGGCGCAGCTGCCGACCTCTTTGCCCCTTTTTGGAGAGCATTGCCTGCAGCCTTCAACTTTCAGGCTTCTGGCTTCGGACGGCTTTTTTGTTCCAGGGTTGGCTGCGCCTGACATGCAAAGCATTAAAACACGATTTTCACATTTACCTTTCAATTTAGCATTGCATTCGCTTTTGCTGTCGTTTGTCCTTACTTTTGTTGTTATGCTTAGTTGTTGTATACTCTCTTTGCTGTTGTTGTTGTTGCTGTTATTCCTGTGTTTGTCTGCGAGAGGCAACATATTGACAAAAATGCCTAGCTGCTTGAATTAAATTATACCCCACGGTCCCACGGATTTGATTAGGTCAAATCGAATTATTCAGTTTGATTAGCGATAATCAAACTATAAA